GGGGGGGGGTGCAGGTGAAATTGAGGGGGGATCGGGAAAATTTTGGTAGGAAAAAGGGGGGATGGGCCCCTCCTCTGCCATACATTATGAACGCAGCCTTGGTAGCCCAGGTGGCTAACAAACCTGCGACCCTTGTTCCATGATCGTGCATTGGAATTTAGGAGTTGATTTGTTGTCCCCATAACAGCATAAAAAAATATACGACAAACAATTTTGTGGAATGAATGCTGGATTTTTTTTTTTTTTTGAATATCTCGTCAAGTGAAACTCCAAGAATATTTACTCTCAAAATGGCCATAATTTATTGGTTATCAACCAACCATCCACTCTTCGATGATTGCGGCTAATCGATTAGTCTAATTAAATCAGCAGTGCTTAATTATACCAGAATGATTCTCTTATTTATCAAAAAATAGTCGAACGGCAAGTTAGGCATAGCACATGGCCTAGACTCGACCCGCGAGGGCCTATTCTCATCAAATCAACTGACACGTAGAATATATGACAGCACATCAGACTGCGTGGGTCGTCGCAATCGAAATATTTTCTGACTAAATTACACCAAAATGGACCTTCTGTCGAATACTTGGTATTATTGGCCCGCTTTAGGGTGTCCTTGGATTTAAACCACCTTGTGACCTCTGTATTCCACCGATCCCCTGGGTGGTTCGTTCTCCACATTTTAGTAATTTTTTTCGACAATTGATTCTTAGGATAATGAAGACGGTTTTACCTAAGTATCCTGACCGATAGCAAAGTTGTTTGCGAGCTCGGGCGTAATTTTCCGGTGTAAGATCTGTAGTTCAGCGCTTTGTATAGATAAACTAATAGACGAGATGCTGTTTGCGTATCGGCTTTGCTGAATCCTGTCGCACATGACGGTCAGCACTACTGGTTGAACAGTGAAGTCGGTCTCTGAGTTTCGTACGTGCTAAAAACAGGAAGTATATTCATCTGCACATACTGCTTGACGTGCGAACAGGAATCATCCATGATGTGACTTTTAGCTCCAAGGATCCAACGTGCTTTGGGGATAATTTGCAGTGTTTTCAATATATTAGACAGATGTTGAAATACTGTAGTGCCATGACCTACGGCAAGAAAAAATGACGGAACTAGTTCATATTCTCTTGCCTACGGCCACTGGCCTCCTAATGGAAATGCTATGAATTAATCGATATAACATGGGTCTCAAGGTCTGCCACTGATGTAGTGTGTCCTGAAGGCTAATTGAGCAAACCAATATTTCTAAATTTGTCGTCACTATATGAAGTTAAGTTTTGTTCTTTTCAATCATAGAAAAGATGAAATGAAACTTGGAGCCAAATATATTTTTCTATGCTTTTCTTTAGTTTTGCGACTCAAATAATTTATACATGCATTCAATTAAATTGACTGACTCACATGTTTCCCGTGTTGATGGTTTTTACAGCCGCCATTTTGGATGAATCCAACGAAAATATTCGTAATTAGTCTGTTTGGTTATATCATCCAACATGGCCGCCGTGTCTTTTGTTATTTCAATCTCTTGGGAAACATTGCAAACCAGCAATCACGCGTTATCAGCATGCAACTCGGCAACAATATCCAGAAACTAAATGGCAAATCCGTTATGTTGGCTGTTTGACCTTTCCACAGGTATCCCATCATGTTCTGTATCCAATCATTTTGGTGATTATATTTCAAGGATCCTTGTTTACTCCAGATCGCACATTTCTACTCTGGATCCATCGGGCTGTTTCTTTTACGGTTAAATGCGTCGGGAGAGTTTTGAAAGATTCTATTTACTCTAAGAATTAAAAATGATGATGAGCAGTTCAATATGGTAAGCTGCTCTTCTCATTGGCTAACAAGTGTAATCAGTGGTGCCATTTTTACTGACAAGATCTGCTGAGCCTATAATCAGCCAAAACAGAGAGAGAAAATTTTTTAAAAATCAGGCTTTTTAACTTCAAATTGGGAACTTAACTTGCTCCATGGATATGAGATACCAAAGAACAAACCTGAATTTGGGCCTGAAGCTGGTAAGCATGCGCAAAAGGAATTCTTCGCAAATTTATGGAATACCAAAGAACACTAACCTGAATTTGTTTTCTGTGTAGATATGGTCTGGGGCCCGGCTAGTCTCTCCCCTGATGCTTCGGCTAGAACACTATCCTGCGCAATCCGTACACCCAAGGGCAGAGGGACTTAATTGCCGTCATGTCCGAAGTCCATACGATGACCCAGCGGATCAGTCTCGGGGTATGGCATGAAGGCACTATTTTTTCTTCTTCTGTATTTTGGAATTAATTATCTAATTAAAGTTGAGAACGCGGGTTCGATTCCCACCGTATTAATTTCCTGAGCCTCAGATCTTATTTTTGATAAGCGACTTTTATTGTTTCAAAAAATTCCACCAACCTTTCTGTAAGACCTGATTCAAAAATCTGATTCATAATTATTAGGGCACAGGGCCACCAGGGTCTTGAGATAAAAACTTTACTTTCTCCTTTGAAATACATGTTTTTCAGGACTACGCCTCAGCTTTTCAGTGCATAGAACTCAGAAGATTCTCGGAAATCAATTTTTGTTAGTGCATGAAATATAATTTTGTTTAAATTGAACAATGCCTTAGAAGATGCATTTTGTGAATAATGTCTTTTCAGAAATGCAATTATAAGTTAGTTTGTTGTTACTCAAGCTAAGTGGCTCATTATCTTTCAAAAGACATTTACCTCTTTGGTGTCCTTTTGACTATCTTGAAAACCTTTTTCAAGTAATCTATTGCCGGCACACGAATTTCTTCAGATTCGTTTATTTCCACTGGTGCAAGGTCTGCTTGTAGGTGCCTCAGCCAGTCAAACTAAGAAATGGTGGGAAATATATTTTGTTAAATTCGTTTATTTACGTAGAAAAGTCAGCCAACCTTATACCTACCTCTTGGGCTTCTTCCTTCACCTCTCTGATGGTCTTCCTCACGAAAAGTGTCGACTTATCTTAAGAGAGCTTTATGCAACCGGGCCCAGGTCCTTAGTGTAATGCATACACGTGAGGTTTTCCTTTTCTTCAAATATACCTAATATAGTCCGGAAGATAATGAACAAAAATAGCCGAATTGTTCAAATTAGTGATACAAGCACCAAATACGCTCATACGGGTTGTTTCACTTATGAATACCGATGAGACTATAGGAAAAGGTCAGGGAAAAATCAAATAATTTTGTTCTTTTTTAGGGAAATGATGATTTTGAACAAACGTCTAGGGGAGATGTGGTGCTTGTGGCAACCATTCCACACTAACAGCAATCAACTCGCTTCTGCCAGCTCGGTCTCAAAGTCAAAAACTTCTTGTGCTTTCATGGCAATGCCTTCTCCTCCACCAACGAGCTTTGCTACATCAATCAGATATGTCTTGAAAGCTTCGACAGTCTTCGAAAAAAGGAATCACTTAACAAAGAAATATCTGCAATGAATTCAAACATACAATTCTGTTAATGTTTTAGGCATACGTCAGGATTATCGGTATAGGTTTCCTTTGCTATACTCGGTCCTGCTTGCATAAACTATAGAGTTTGAAAACAGTAGAAAATATATCAATGCAATCGTCCTTGAGGTCCTTATAATTATACAAGGATTGCACTTAAAGCCAGTGACTAACCTGCAGCCCTCAATTGATTTTTGGAGAGGAAGAAAAACCGGAAAAAACCGGACTGGAAAAAGCCCTCGAAACAAAGGAAAGCATGACTGACAAACAAGCAACTCTACTCACATATGACGGCGATTCCGAGGGTTGGAGTTCATGGCCATAGCAGCCGGAGAAGCGGCGCATTTTAGCATTATCTTACAAAGTGAAAACCAACAGGTTCATTTTTATGTTTATTTTCTCTTAATCGCACACTACTGTTATGAGAGAGAAAATTAATGTTTTTACAGACTAAGC